CTTACGTGAACTCCGGGACATAAAAATGATTGCTGTGAACCACTTATCAGGCCACAGTTAGGAAGTGTTCTAACCCACAGCTGTGAGAGTGATAGAGACGGAATTTTAGAACTTCATGTGCAAATAATTTAATGATATGAAAAATATTAACAATAATTAAAATCCCCCAAGTAAATTCCATTTTTATCTTGGAATGCAGCCTCTTAAAAGTATAACAGATGAGTGAATGAAACTGCAGGAAAACTACTTGTAGTGTACATATTTATATGTACTCTCTATATAGAGATATCTAAACTTTCCAAAGGAAATAGTGACCCCACTAATTGTCTGATTTTGAGTTTCAAACCCAAATACTAACACAGTTCTTGAGTTTTAAGTCATTTGACCTCCTTATACGAAAAACAATCACATCATGAAGTTCTCTTGATTTTGCAGTGGCTAAATTCCCATGGACGGTAAACAGTATGAATCTACTCTTTTCTGGAATCAACGGTAGAAGGTGTCTTTATTTTCTTGGTTGCTAAAGCAAAACTTTAAAAAGTCCATCAGGGTTCATAAAGACATGACATAATATTTTCCTACAAAGGGACAACCACTGAATGCATAGAGCTTCCTCCCTTAAAACCGATCAAGAAGAACTTTGAATCCTGCCGGGTTCCACCCCATTCACATCCTTACAGCAGAATCAGAATGAAGTCTGGGGAAGTGTAAGGCTGGAGTCACAAATCGTTTTGGAAACCAGCAGCTGTCATTCATGAACCATGCCCCACATTACAGAACCGCAGGACCTGAGAGCCAGGAGGGACAGGTCGAGTCTTCTAGTGAGAACCCTCGTTTCTCAGGTGGGAACTCAGAACCTGGAAAAGGTCAAGAGCATAAGTCTCTGGCCCTCAGCCAGGACTCTTTCCTCAGTCACTGCTCCTTGAAAAGCTCTGAGCACGGCAGGAATCCCAGCTCACCTGCTGCTCAAAGTGCTCCTCCTGGCCCTACCTGAACCCACAAGGAAATTTGCCCTATGAGAGATCCTGCACTTCACAGCAGGCTCTAGTGTGAGGGGAGGAAGGCAGGCTGCGGCATGATTCCCCACTAACTGTGTCCCCCCTTCTCTTGGGAAGAGCAAGTGCCCCTACCTATCCCCTGCATGCTGACCTGGCTTCCAAATCCTAACCAGGGTGGTATAAACTCCCGGTTGAGTGCCATGTACAGGGATAATCTCAAAGCGGTGTGACAAAATGACTCCCAGCTCCCAAAGCAGGGAAATGAAGAGGACTTGGGTTTCCAAAGTCTGCTATGGATGGGGAGTCAGGAAATGCCTTTCGTGCCATTCTCATGACCATCTTTACCTAGTGCATGGGCACAATCTCATCAAGAGTGAGGGCATAGCCACACTCAGCCCAGCCGGAGCTGAGGAGCACGGAGGGGGAGAGTGGAAGAGAACCCCCATGAGAGTCTGTGAGGAGTCCCAGTGGGGAGTCCCAGCAGGGAGAGGGTGGGTAAGCAGGGACACTGCAGGGTGGTGTCAATACTGAGATCCTTCTGGAAGGGAGATGGCAGTAGGGTGAAAGAGGATGACATCGAGAAACATGTAGAGAAGAGGGGGTGTTCCGAATGTCTTCCCGAGAGAGCCAGCAGCCCAGTGGATGTGGCTGGGGAGTCAGAGGGGGCAGTAGTAGTGATCATGGGTGGAAGATGAGTAGAGGCTAGACTTCTGGCCTCTGTGGAACGCTGATGAGGCTCAGCTGGTTCAGCCCCAGGCATGTCCCAGTTCCACCTGTAACTCTAGCTCCAGGCGCCCATAAAGTGGTGACCACAGCCTTTCCTCAGCCCTGGGCCAGACTTGCTGTTGATGATGTTCAGCCATGGAAGTCCTGATGTGGGACTTAAATGAAGTACCCATCTGAGCACTGGTCTCCAAGAGAGGAACACTTTTCTTTTAAAATGCCACAAATGGCTGGGAAGCCTCAGGGAGATTCATCCAGCCTCTGGAAGTCAGGGTATCTTGAGCTGCTACTGTAGCCCAAGAGGCAGACTTGGCTGCTGGAGACCTGAGCAAGCCCGCCTCCCAAACGATCTCCCAAGTTATGCATGGGCCCTGCTCCCAAATTCTCCACTGGAAAACAATCCCTGCACCTGCATCCCTCACAGGGAGAACCTCTGTCTCAGGAAGGACAGAGCTTTCCTGTTGTGTAAGCAGCCCTCTCTGACCACCCTGAATCAGAGACACACACATAGCAGAGAGTGCAGCTCAGCTCCTTGAGCCTTCTTCGCACATAGACTGCCTTGGAGAATGCCAAGGGCACTGGTTTGTGATTGACAGCCCGAGGAAATAGAAAGAAAAGGACGAGTGGTATAATTACAAGGACACTGGGAAGGCTTGGTCCCATTAAAGTGCCCACCTGGGTGTTTTCCCCGTACTAAGCCCAGGTGTTGGAACCTTAGTGTAATGATATTTCCATGATCACGGGGCAAATGTGGACGAGAAGCCAGACACCTGGATGTGACTCCTGGCTCTGCACACAGCAAGTTAATTAGAACTTGGGACTTTGGATTCCTTGTATCGTCAGATGGAAATAACAATATCACCTGCCTTAGGGAGATTTTGTGGGGTGACATCAGGCTCCTCAGCCTCTGTGCTGCAGGCCGTCGGGCAGGGATCACTCTCTGGCTTGGGGGCTGCGCTGTGCATTGTAAGATATTGACTTCCTTGTGGCATCTGCCCAGGGGACACCTCTAGCACCCTTCCATCCAGTGCCAACCAAAAACTGTCTTGACACTGCCAAGTGTCCTGGAGGGAGAGCCCAATTACCCCCAGCCAAGAACCATAGAGTGGAGGGACAGATTTGCCAAGGCACAGGCACAGCTGCTGACACACCCCAGCCTCCTTTAAACCACAGGACCCCCCACGCTGGCTCCATCGAAGCAACCGCCCCTCCTCATTTTTGGTTTGCTCTTCTTCCCACCACAGAGCTGATTGAATCCATTTTGAGGGGGCCTCTGGCCCAGAAGTCTTAAAATTTAGATGCACTTTTTTTTCTTTGTGTATTTCTATAATCTTGGTATGTTTGCATTAATAACCTCACCCCAAAGCTGGGATATTTGTAAATCATCTGTACATGTACATGGAAAAGCTAAAGTACTTCTTAGGTTGCTAGTTTTTTAGCGTCTTAACTTTGTTTTCCTTGATGATTCAGTTTTTAAATTATACGGTGAAAGTAGCTTGACAAAGCTCAAGATAAATTGTGGTGACAAAAATCTTTCATATATTGCACAGAGGTTTGCTGTCATTTACATCAATAAGTTTGGTGGCTTACAGTAAAACAGACCAACAAAGGAACCACAGAACACACCTACTATGTAACAATAAAAACATGCAATGGGAGAAAAATTCAGTCCTTTCTGTCAGGAAGGTAATTTTTTTGTTGTAAAGACCAATCTCTACTGAAATGTGCTCTTTGAGGATCCTGCACAGCCCTGTGGGATTGATATGGACACTGTTCTGGACTGAATGTTTGTGTCTTCCCAAAATGCACATGTTGACATCCTAGTAAGATGGTGCTGGGAGTGGGGTCTTTGGGGAGTTGTTTGGTCATAACTATGGAGCTTGCATGAAGAGGATTCCTTATGCAAGGACCCCAGAGTACCCTCTCCATGTGAGGACATAGTGAAGACAATCATCCAAAAACCAGGAAGAGGCCCCCACCAGACACAGGACCTACAGGCACCCTGATCTTGGGCCTCCCATCCCTCAGAACTGTGAGAAATAGGTTTGACAGCAGCAGCTGGCAGTCCATTACCATCCATGCCGAAGTATTAGAGCAAATAATTCTTTTTGTATACATATATCAAAGGGTCCATCTGCACCCCTTAATTATGTATGATTATGTGTCAATTAAAAGTAAAATATACATTTAAAAAAACTCCCATAATCTTGTAAGAAAGACATGGGTTCCAGAAGCTATTGACAATTTTTAAAGAGCTAAAGATTTTTATGTGATATTTTGTTTCAGCAACCTGAACAGAAGAAGGCACATTTTCAAAGAATCATTGATCTGATTTAAAAACTGTCCCAAACTTCTGAAACACAATCCCTTTTGTAAGATTATGGGAGTGTTTTTTAAAAATATGTTTTTTTTAAATTATCACACAATTGTACATATTTAAGGGATGCACAGTGGCACTTCAATGTATATCTATATGAAAATCATAAAAGCATTTTTAACTGAAGAATTGTTTGCTTTAGTACTCAGCATGGATGAATAGTGGGCTGCCAAATGCTGCTCTCAGAACATAGTGGAGATGTTCATGAAGTTCAAGAAGCCTGACAGGCAGTAACCAAGAAGTTCCCTGTGCTTTGCAGAATTGACAACAGTCTAATCATCAAGAGTACTGTTCTGGGTGGACTCGAGCTAGACACTAACCTAGTCTACACTTCAGTCTCCTACACTTCAATGTTGGTCTGATTAAGAAGGTTGTTGTGAGGGCCAATGAACCAGGGTATTTCCAGCACACATAAAAGCTCCTGGCAAATAATAAGCTTGAAATAAGTACAGCTATTGCCATGATTAGAACACCATCCCACAGGTTTCAATGGGTGCCATCCATGAAAGACTAGCAGTCAAACGTCTGAAAAGACTGCTTTTTAAAAATCTAAAAATCATCTCACTCATCGCACTACATCTCAAAGCAAGATAACTGCCAAGGACACAATCCAGTATGCATCCTGTGACAGCAGGACCCTTTCTTCATGAGACCATTCACAAGATTAGTGTTGCAAAAATCACAGGTGAACCATTACTGCCCAGGCCATCTTCCCAGCTTGACAAACAGTCTAATGTAATTGAAATCGCTTATTAGAATGTGAACAACTCTGATTGTAAAAGACATAAGTATTCTCAACATAAGCATTCACAACATGTCAGGGTCTGAGACAACTTAATGTAAGTATTCAGGATGGTTCAAAATTCAGGCAAGCTGCCTGGTCTGATTGTTACGTCACTTACCCGAGAACCCTTATCAGGAAAGCACTGGCAAATGGAGCAATCTCTTCCTCCACAAGGACCGATGTATTTCTTTCCACCCTGGAAATGGAAGCAGCTTCTTTAGCATGCAAGTGCTCATCTCTTAGTTGGATACATGCAATGCACAGCACAACAAGCACTCTGGGTTTGCCTAGCTCGCCAGAATCCCATGGTACACTCTTACCTTTGGATCCATGAGAAGCAACAACTAATACTGACGTATTAAAAGGCAAAGCACTTACACTGGGGCCTCATAATAAGCAGGGCTGACTATACCAGCAAGTGGCTTCCAAGACTGAGGACACTGGGGAAAAGACATGGTCCTTCTATAGTCACTTTGCTTTGGCCAGAAGCTTCTACAGTTTCTGTCTCCCAGGAAGACTTCATGATGTACTAAGTTGAGAGCAAACTTAGAGTACGAACCAGACAGTTGAGCAAACCACACGTATATAGAGGCATCTAATTTAGCTGATAGGCTTGACTTTTTTCATGATCACCTTGCTCTGCCTCCTGGATCAACTGGCCTGTCTCCCTTGTGAAGTCCTTTCCAGGACCATTGTCCAGTACGGTCTCATGCTTCAGATAAAAATTATTCTTCCTTACAGTGTGCCAATACTCCAAGATGGTTCCTCTAATGTGTCTCTCAACCAGAAAACTTCTGAACCTAAATAACTGGTGCCCTCTACCCATTTTTTAGCTGACTTTTCTGCATTAGAGAGTCAACACACACACACACACACACACACACACACCTTTGGCAAGAATCGTCACTTTGTTCTCACAAATGCTAATTATCCAGAACCAGTGTCATCAGCCACTTTAGTACAAAAGTGTAGTCCCAGAGAGATTGTAAGTGGGTCCCTTAGGACAAAGGGTCATACAGTGTGCCTGCACTCATTCACAGGGGCTGTGGGTTGGATGGGAGAGGTGGACAGGTGTTGGTCAAAGATGCCCTAGGTGGTGGGAACTGAGGGCCTGGACAGGAACATCAAGTCAGCACCAGAGACAAACTGCCTAACAAACATGCACATAGTAATTGCACATTTCTGTAATTGACATTTTTTTTTACTACTAGGGATTGAATCCAAGGATGCTTTATCACCAAGCTACATCCCCAATTCCAATTCCTTTTTAAATTTTTTAAATTTGTTTTATATGACAGCAGAATGCATTACAATTCATATTATACATATAGAGCACAATTTTTCATATCTCTGGTTGTATACAAAGTATATTCACACCATTTGTGTCTTCATACATGTACTTTGAATAATGATGTCCATCAATTTTCACCATCATTTCTAACCCCATGCACCCTCCCTTCCCCTCCCACCCCTCTGCCCTATCTAGAGTTTGTCTATTTCTCCCATGCACCCCTTCCCTACCCCACTATGAATCAGCCTCCTTATATCAGAGAAAACATTTGGCATTTGTTTTGGGGGGGATTGGCTAACTTCATTTAGCATTATCTTCCCCAACTCCATTCATTTACCTGCAAATGCCATGATTTTATTCTCTTTTATTGCTGAGTTATATTCCATTGTGTATACATACCACATTTTTTTAATCCATTCATCTACTGAAGAGCATCTAGATTGGTTCAACAATATAGCTATTGTGAATTGTGCTGCTATAAACCTTGATGTGGATGTGTCCCTGTAGTATGCTGTTTTTAAATCTTTTGGGTATAGAACAAGGAGGGTGATAGCTGGGTCAAATGGTGGTTTCATTCCCAGTTTTCCAAGGCATCACCATACTGCTTTCCATATTGGCTACACCAATGTGCAATCCCACCAGCAATGTATGAGTGTGCCTTTTTCCCACATCCTCATCAACACTTATTGTTCTTTGTATTCTTAATAGCTGCCATTCTGACTGGAGTGAGATGATATCTTAGAGTGGTTTTGATTTGCATTTCTCTGATTGCTAGAGATGTTGAGCATTTTTTTCATATATTTTTTGATGGATTGTATATCATCTTCTGAGAAGTGTCTGTTCAGGTCCTTGGCCCATTTATTAAATGTGTGTGTGTGTATGTGTGTGTGTGTTTAGCTTTTTGAGTTGTTATATACCCTAGAGATTAGTGCTCTATCTGATGTGTGAGGAGTAAAAATTTTCTCCCAAGATGGAGGCTCTCTATTCACTTCACTGATTGTTTCTTTTGCTGAGAAGAAACTTTTTTAGTTTGAATCCATCTCATTTTTTATTCTTGATTTTAATTATTATGCTAATTCTTATGACCTAATCTGACATGATAGAGATTAGGGCCTACTTTTTTCTTCTATTAGATGCAGGGTTTCTGGTTTAATTCCTAGATCCTTGATCCACTTTGAGTTGAGTTTTGTCCATGGTGAGAGATAGGGGTTTAGTTTCATTTTGTTGTGTACGGATTTCCAGTTTTTCCCAGCACCATTTGTTGAAGAGACTGTCTTTTCTCCAATGTATGTTTTTGGCACCTTTGTCTAATGTAAGATAATTGCAATTTTTTGGGTTAGACTCTGTGTCCTCTATTCTATACCATTGGCCTACCAGTCTATTTTGCTGCCAATACCATGTCATTTTTGTTACTATTGCTCTGTAGTATAGTTCAACATCTGGTATAGTGATGCTACCTGCTTACTTTTCTTGCTAAGGATAGCTTTAGCTATTCTGGGTCTTTTATTTTTCCAGACGAATTTCATGATTGTTTTTTTTCTATTTCTATGATCTTATGTCATTGGGGTCTGGATTGGAATTGCATTAAATCTGTATAGTGCTTTCGGTAGTGTGGTCATTTTGATAATATTAATTCTACCTATCCAAGAGCAAGGTAGATCTTTCCATCTTCTAAGGTCTTCTTCGATTTCTTTCTTTAGGGTTCTGTAGTTTTCATTGTATAGGTCTTTCACCTCTTTCATTAAGTTGGTTCCCAAGTATTTTTTTTTTTGAGGCTACATCCCCAATATCCCCAATTCCAATTCCCAGTATTTTTTTTTTGAGACAGGGTCTTGCTTAGTTCCTGAGACTGGCCTTGAAATTTTGATCCTCTTGCAACAGATTTCCCAAGTCACTGGCATTACAGGCGTGTGCCACCATGCCCAGCTTGATAGCTCTTTTTAAACTGAAGTCTCTAGACCAATGTATAATAGGAAAACATAACACAGCTAAACCAATATTTATAGTTCAGATGGAAGACACATAAACATACATATATGTAAAACATAATACATATAAATATGCATGTATATATGAACACATATAGACAAACATGCATATACATAAATGTGTATGCATGCATGTGTGTGTGTGTGTGTGTGTGTGTGTGTGTGTAAGAGGGAAAGGAGTCTTTCCAGAAATGCTTTTCAATCACACAATTTCAGCTTCTTTGGGAGAAAAGTATGCTCAGACAAAATCCCAAATAAAATATCTATAAGCGTTAATGAAAAAGACATCTTTATAAATAAAATTCTCCTGGGTCATTAAAAGTATGTAAGAATTTGAAGCTTCACAAGAGCCAAGCAAGTAGATAATTTAAGTTAAAAATGTATTTGAAGTTTCTGAAATATATGCCCCTTAAATTTTGAGTAACATTGTTATCTACAATACCTACATTCAAAATACTGATAAGGTTTAAAAAAAAAATTAAATACCCAGGGCCAAGTTGGGACAGCACTTAAAGTAGCTAGTCTGAACACTCGGGTCATTTAAGGTTGGGATTCATTACTGTGTGTTCAGTGAAATATCAAAATAACCAGAGAAAAAAAGGTCAGTTGATCAGATGGCTTGATAATGAAGGGTTTTTTATGTATTTATTTTTACTTATCTTTGCCAAGCATCACTGAGATGTTTTTAGCAAAATTACATCACAAAATAGAGTCAGTTTAAAATAGATCAGCAGATTCTAATAAAGCAACACCTCAATAAACATTTAAAAGGGAACAGTGAATTCACAGGGGAAGAGTCTGACCCTCAAAAATAGATTGCATAAACCCTTTGAAAAAAAATAAAGACAGTATCTCAGACAACTAAACATTCAAAATATGAACTACACTGACGGGGAACACACTTATACTCTCAGGAAACCAATGTTACTTTTCTTCAAAGAGAAAAACAGGAAAAGTCACTCTGCTTTATCTTGGGCATTTTAAAACAAATATTTGCTGCATAAAAAGTTCAAGAAAATAAGTTAATTTCTAGAAGAATAGCCATCTGCCCTAAAGATGGACCTCAATTTTCTTTTTTATACAAGAAACAATATAGGCACAAAATAAAAAATTCAAATAGTGCAAAAGACTGTAACAGGAAAAAAATTTTCTTTTCCCATCCTGGCCCAAGTTCCCTAAAACAGAGGATCAATCACTTTACATTGGTGTCCAACAATGAATCTGCTGAGAAAGAAATCAGAAAAGAATACATAGGAACAAACCTAATCAAGGAGGTAAAAAACTTTTTCAATGAAAAACTAAAGAACATTGAAGAAAGAAGTTGAAGAAGACACAGATATGGAAAGACCTACCATGTTCATGAATAAGATAAATTAATATTGTTAGAATTAATGTCATTGAAATGGCCATACTACCCAAAGCAATATACAGAGTCAATGCAATCCCCATCAAAATGGTGTTTTTTACAGAACTAGAAAAAAGTAGTTCTAAAATTCATTTGGAATAATAAAAGACCCAGAATAACCAAAACAAGTCTAAGCAAAAAAAGAAAAGAAAAGAAAAAGAAAGAAAGAAAAGAAAAAAGAAAAAAAATAGTGCTAGAAGAATCACAATTCCTGACTTTAGTTTATACTACAGAGCTATAGTAACAAAAACTGTATGATACTGGTACAAAAACAGACACAAAGACCAGTGATACAGAATAGAAGACACAGAGACAAATCCACACAGATGCAGTCATCTGATTCTTGACAAAGGTGCCAAAAACATACATTGGAGAAAAGACAGCCTGTTTAACAAATAATGCTGGGAAAACTGGTTGTCCATCTGTAGAAAGATAAAACTAGACCTGTATCTCTCACCCTGCACAGGAAAATCAACTCAAAATGAATCAAAGACCCAGGAATTGGAACAGAACTTTAGCAATTCCTAGAGGAAAATGTAGGATCAATACTCCAGCACACAGGCAATGACTTTCTCAACAGGAATCCTAAAGATCAGGAAATAATGTCAAGTATTAATGGATAGGATGGCATAACATTAAAAAGTTCCTGCATAGAACAGGTAACAATAAAATGTTAAGGTAGAACATGCATATGGGAGAAAATCTTTGCTAGCTCTTCTTTTGACAGAAGATTAATATCTAGAATAAAGAACTCAAAAACCAAAAAGCCAAATAACCCAATTAATAAATGGGCAAATGAATTAAGCAGGTACTTCTCAAAACAAGAAATATAAAAAGTCAACGAATATATGAAAAAAATGTACATCATTAGCAATTAAGAAAATGTAAATCAAAACTACATTGAGATTTCATCTCATACCAGTCAGAACAGCAGCCATGAAGAATACAAAATAATAAATGGCAGAGAAGATGAAGATAAAAAGGAATACTTTCGTACTGTTGGTGGGATTGTAAATTAGTAAACCACTATGGAAACCAGTATGGTGCTTCCTCAAAAGACTAGGCATGGAACTGCCATATGACCCAGCTATACCACTTCCCAGTACTTGTTCTTAAGAATTAAAGTCATCATACTACAGTGATACCTGCATACCTGTGTTTATGGCAGCACAATTCACATTAACCAAACTATGGAACCAGATGAATGGATACAGGAAATGTGGAATATATACACGATAAAATTTCATTTAGTCATACAAAAATAAAATGATGGCATTTGCAATATACATAAATAACTGGAGACCATCATGTTAAGCAAAATAAACCAAACTCAGAAGGTCAAGGGTCATATGTTTTCTTTCATATGTGTAAGCCATAGAGGAAAAAGGAAAAGAAAGTTGTGGGCAGAGCGAGGGTCTCATGAAAATCAAAGGGAGATCAGTAGAGGAAAGGGACCAGAGAGTGAGAGGGAGAGAGGGAGGCAGGAAGTGTGAGGGAGTGATACGGGCCAAATTATATAATTATATTGTGTGCATATATGGATATGTAACAACAAATTCCACCATTATGTACAATATAATGCACCGATTAAAAATCTGAGGGAAAAAGAATGATTTAAGAGACATAATAACCAAATGTGTACTTCTTGTTTGTACCATGAACAAATTAACTATGAAAAGACATCTTTGAGACAATAAAGGAAATTTTAACTAAAAAAAATTGTGTCTGGGTATTAATAAGCATACTCACACCACAATCTCTCTCACACACACAAGCACACATGTAAACAAATGCACATACACACACACACACTTTCAGTGATTTTTGACCTGCTTTTATTATTACCCAATGGTATACTGCCCAATAATTTGCCACTTTCACATAATCAAATGTCTTCATAATCATTCTGTCAGAATCTATATAGCCATCCATTACAAAGGATCTTAACTTGTTCCACTACCCTCTACTGAGGAACATGGATATTGCATCAGTTTGTACCTCTACCTTTAAAATCTAATCATCATATCTACTCCTGTGTGACCACAAGCCAGTGGGAGGGTCCAGGATAGAACGATCCTTGGTTCAGGAATTATATTCATTGGCATGGAATATAAGGATCAAATGAAGTGAAATTTAAGACTTGGTAGACTTAGAAAACAAAAGAATATGATATAAAAATAAACTCAGAAAAAATCAGGTAAGATCAACAGCAGTCAGCCATTGTTCTCAAATGTACATGAACCAGCCTTCCATCCCCCCTTAACATGGAGAAGACTGAGCCGTAGGTATGTTAAGGAATGAATCAGTGGCAGAGCCAAGAACCAAGGATACCTGTTCCTTGACCCACGTGCTGTCTGTTCCCAACTGGTAGGAAGGAGAGAACAAGGTTAATGACCTGCTTCCATTTGCTTTGGAAAGACCTAAGATAATCTGAATCTCTGAAATTGGATTGGGTGGACTCAAGCCAGTCCAGTTGTTTAAAGATCAATCTGAGTTACAGGCAGCTCATAACTGGATTTTCCAGAAACTTCTGAGATTGGGTTTAATAACTTAGATTCTTTAGTGAAGAGGCAGAATTAAGAGGGCTTATTACAGAATGTTCTAGGCTTATCTTTCTGCAGAGCTAAAATGTTCAAATTTAATCTTATATTTTCTGATTTAATCTTGATATGGCCCAGCTGCCTCTTGTCTGTCTCCAAAAAAATGTTTTTAAGAAAAGGTTATGTTAATTATAAAATAACAATCTAACACCCAGGCAATTCCAAAAGCAATCTTGACCACAAAATATTGAAGAAACCTTAGAGTTACTGTAGCTAAACCTCCATTTCCCAGATTAAAAAAACTGAGCCCCAGAAAGTGTTTAAAAATATAACAAAACAATACATTCAAGAAAGTGAATTCTCAACATGCAGCCAGTGTAAATTAATGTACTTACTCCATATACATGTTGTACAGAAAAGAGAATAAGTATAAGGTACCTGCAGGAAAAACAAAAATTCATATTAATTTAAACCATTCATTTTCATGCAAAACAAACTAAAAAGATAAAGAGTAAAAGAGTTGATCCCAGAAAGCTTTTTATTTCTAACAGGCTAGGACCACAAGCTGATTGTCCCCAGTGGCCAGAGAGATGTTCTGCTCTCTCTAGATGTCAAGATACTGTTTGTTCCTCTTTTTAGTCAGTCAAGGAAGCAGGATGGAAGGTAATGTGGTCCTCCTGAGCCTTCTCTCTGCACCGTCTAGTCCTTCCTCTTGTGCAAACACGTGAGAAACACCACTGAGAGTCACAAAGCCGTGTGCCTGGGTGTGAACCTGATTAGGACATGGGCAACTGGGGCAGATCTAGTCTGTATTTTCTTGCTTTCACCCTTCTCCCAGCCATTCTATTGGAATTAATTCCAATAAAGTCCAGTTGACATTTCAATGTAGTAAATAAGTAAGTTAGAGAAAAATCTGAAGGAGGTGTTAAACCCAGGGAATAAGCTTTAAATCAAGTTGAACTTGTATTTACAACTGCTGCTTGTTAAATGATTTTTTTATCTCTTGGGACATTTGTAAATAGGATATGTTGTATCTCTTTTTTTTTAAGTTTATTTTTTTAGTTATAGATGAACACATTGCCTTTATTTTAATTGTAGATGAACATAATACCTTTATTTTATTTATTTTTATGTGATGCTGAAAAGCGAACCCAGTGCCTCACACATGCTGGCAAGTGCTCTTCCACTGAGCCACAACCCCAGCTGGACATGCTGCATCTTATGGCAGTTGTGGTCACCACATAATCGCATTAAAACTGTGGGCACCTTTCACAGAAGATCTAACTCAGAAATGTTGGATAATATGCACCAGAGCCCTCAGGCAAAATAGCCTCCAAGGGCCCAAGCATTTCAGATATGAACCTCATTACTGTCCCTCATGCTATACTGTTTGTCTTTCTCACTGACATAGATATTTTTCTTCTAAAAACCAACCATAATTAAGATTCTTTTGCAGTTTCCTTCCTATCCACTCCACGTAAGACATGACTACATTTCTGAAATAAACAGATTCCTTCCCACCACCCACTCACTCTTCCTTCATTTCCCATAAACACGTTCATCACCTTCAAAACTTTTCGCCTTTCTGCTATTTAAGTCTTAATCCTCAACACCTTTTAGGTCATATTTAACAATCTCCTATTAGCTTCCTATGGCTGCAGCAACACATCCCCACAAACTCTGAGGCTTAAACAATGCAGATATATCATCTTGTACTTTGGGGCATCATAAGCCTAACATGGGTCTCAATGGTGAAAATCAAGGTGTTTCAGGGGAGAGTGTGATCCCCTGCTTTCCTAGACTCTAGGGGCCACTCGCTTTCCTTGGCTCGTGGTCCATTCCATCTTCAAAGCAGGATGAGTGTTTCTCTTGCTGCACCCCTCTGGCCTCTGCTTCTGTAGTTACATCTCTTCTGATGCTGCCTCCCCCTTTGACTTCTAAGAACATGTGTGATTATATGGGCACACTCAGATGATCTAAGATCAACTATCCCATCTCAAGGTCTGCCAATTAGCAAACTTAATTCCATCTATAACTTTAAACCCCCCTTTTCAATATAACATAACATAGTCACAGGCTCCAGAGATTAGGGTGTGGATGTCTCTGGGGGTCATTAACCTGCCTACTGCACTAGACAAGTACTTTGTCCCAACTCTACTAGTTGCAGGGACCCTGCTGCTCTGGGCCTATAAGGCTTTTGCTATTCAAACCCAGTGAGTAAGAGAGCAGGAACCCAGAGCCCTTAGTTATGCAGCTTCCCACTGGGTGACCTTGGAGCATTTCAGGGACGGTAGACAGTGTGGACTTTAATAATGAGTCATATACAGCAGGCAAACCCTTTAGCTTTCTGGAACCATTTGCTTTTTGATACTGAGGCATTTAGATAATCTACAACTATAAAACAAACACTTAGGAGAAATTATTTGATAAAAGCAGGTGATCACACAGAAGACACTCACCCAGGATCTGTGACCAAGGGCTTGGTCCATCTGAAAGACACCATGTGCACAGGGGCTTTGCAGGCCAGTCTAGGGACTAGAAACTTCTGCCAGGCCTCTCTTCTCTTCTGGAAGACTCCCTGGCAGGTTAAGTTCTGTGTCTTGGGTTAAAATCTGCATGTGTTAAATGTAAATATGTTTCTTAAGCATTATAATGTTGAAAGTAATTACTTTCATTATTCATAGTAACAGAGGTATTCAGGCATGAAAATAAGTGAAATATTAATATGGGCTACAATGTGAATGAAGCTTGAAAACGTTATGCTAAGTGAAAAAAGGCCAATATGTATGTATGTATATAATGTATATAAAATGTACATAAAATGTCTACAATAGGCCAATCTAGAGAAAGAGAAAATAGATTAGTGGTTGTTAGGAGGAATGGAAGGGAAAATTAGACAACTGTAGGATTTCTTTTGGGGATGATGAAATGTTCTAGAATTTAGGAAGTGGTTATGGTTATACAGCATATGGACATAATAAAAACTGTTGGATTATAAACTTCAACAGAGTTAAAATGGTAAACTTTATTTTTTGAATTTTACCTCAATAAAAAAGGAGAAAAAATATTTTTAAACTTGACTCAAAGAACCTTTTATTTGATCAAAGATCTCATTGGCCCCAAGAATTGAGATGTCTCATATTTAGAATCTTTGGCTGTAAAGACCTGTTCTTAATGGAACTGGTAGAGAGGGGAAACCAGGAGTGTTAAATGTTGCAGGCTATTTTTAAATTTCCGGATAAAAGCTGGGTAAATTAATTCAATGCTGTATTTATGGAACATTAGTTTTCTGAGTAAGTGGTAGAACCACATTCCACGATGCTGTTTCAAAACCAAAGAGAAACAGAATCACTCTGAATACCTAGATCTTTTCCATCCCTAAATTTATAATTTTAAGTATCTTTTTAAAAAAATCACATTCTAGAAACAAGTCTCAATAAAAGTATTGTTTTAGAAGGAAAACACAAATAAGTTTGAGTCGTTCAAATTGTATTCAATAATTTAAACAAATTGAAAACAGTCTAAGATTTAAGAAAGCCAGAGATACTTGTATTTTAATCCAAAATTAGATATATGATGCAATTAATCTCTACACATATCCACACATATTGTGATAAAGGGTTGCCATAGTCATCTTCCAGGGAAGACAGACTGTGGTCTAATCCTAGGATTTTCTCAATACATTTTCATTGGATGCAGGTATAGGCCAATCTGCAGAATCCCAGTGGGTCTCCCACCAGCCAAAGAAAGTGAAAGGGCAAAGGACACTGGAAGCATCCTGTGTATTCTCAGCACCCTGAATTTAATTAGCATACAAACCTTAGGACAACAGGGCTGCTGCTGTTTTTATAACCCACAGGCTTATCTTCAGGGCCCTTGTAGTGTCTGCAATACATAGTGAGTGCTCAATATATATCTGTTTGATGGATTAACTTGTAAAAGACACTTGGGACCTTAGGGATGGGAGACAAGTATATTCAATGGGGTAGCTGTTAAAGGCTATGGAGAAGGCTAACTTGGAATACACATGAGGTTGTGGAGAGAGAAGACATATTGGAGGAGGTGAAGAGAAACGGACAATATGGGGTAAAAATGGGAGTTCATAACCCACTTGAATCAAAGTGTGAAATATGATATATCAAGAACTATGTAATGTTTTGAACAACCAACAATAAAAAATTTAAAAAAAAAGAAAAACGGACAATTTGTGGTTATTTGTAGGGTCCTCTTCAGAGCATTGCCCACATAAAGTCAGTTAACTCTTAACATGATTTCAAAAAAGTTTTATCCCCATTGCACAGGAAAAACAAAGGAGATCAGTTTATGTACTTCATACAAAGTCACAGAGCCATAAGTCACTGCAGGACCAGGACTTTTCTCCCTGGTAAGAATTCCTTCTCCCCAGTGACACTCTGGCATGGAGGACTTCAGATTTCTCTCCTCTTATCCTCCCATAAGAATTTTGAAACTATGCACCCTGCCCTTCTTTTTCTTCTTAAGTTAACATTTAAAAGCTTTCATCTTCTCTTTAAGTAGTTGCAAAGCAAATGATTTCTGAAGTATCATTAATGGTGACCTTTAAAATAGAACTGTTCCAGCATTATTTTGATATATCAAATGGATCATAATGCCACAACAATCTGATTTTCAGCCCTATCAGATTAAAACAATGCATACAAATTCTTTCACAGGAATTTCATGTGGCTTGTTTTTAAATTTTGTATACGTATTTCCATGCCACTCCCCCACACATTTTAATGCAGCATATTTTATACTTGAAAATCTTATATTGATCACTATCATACTTCTCTGCAACAAAAATGTATTTATAAAAATATTTACAAAGTAAATATTTTTTTATTTCCTATGATCATAGGCCTCTAAGTTTAATTTTTCATACTGGAATTGGTTTTTCCTTATAATTATTAGATACATATATTTTTTCATCAAAAACAAATTGACATATTGATGATCAATTATTAAACATCAAAATAGTTGTATTGGAAATGCAGGCTCCTTGTTTCTCAGTTCAGTCAGCTCTAGACCAGCAGCTCTTCCTACTGAAATTGACACAGTTTTAAAAATAATATTTCCCTCTTTATTTCCAAATTTGAACTGTTCTTGAGTTGTATACTATAGCTTGAAAGTCTCCTGCCTCACAGAATTCATGCGTTGAAATCTAATCCTCAGTGTTTTGATATTAAGATGTGGGGCCCTTTGGGAGGGGGGCGATAAGATCATGAGGCTGAGCCCTCATGCAGGGTATTTGTGCCCTAGAAGGGTCTGGGGGAGTTTCTTTGCATCTTGCTTCTGCCATGTGAGACTGCAACAAAGAGGAAGCTCTCACCAGACACCGGATCTGCCGGGACCTTGATTTTGAACTTCCCAGCCTCCAGAACTGTGAGCAATTTCAGTTGTTCATAAATTACTCAGTCTGAGGCACTGTGTTATAGCAGCCCAAATGAACTAAGACACACATCAAGATTAGTGTCGTACTTCATCATTAAGAATTATTTTTGAATTCACTACCAGCTGTAAGCCTTCAAGTGTGATGACAGCTGAAGTTGGAAACAGTGACCAGAGGCCAGTAGGTGGAGCACTTCCTGTTTGGATGGTCCTTCCTTTGTCCTTACAGAAGGTTCTTCAGTTCTGGGACAAAGCAGGGTGGCAATGTCTGGGATGGACAGGGAGAGGAATGTGTCTTTCTTTTGAAAAGTAGGAGAAGAAACAGTGTAAGAAGCTTGAACAAAGGCAGAGTAATGCTATGAAAGAATGTACACGGCAGCTGAGCATCTGGAAACAGGCTCTTTTCATTAGTTGTCCATAAAATTAATTACATAACTCTTGAGAATCTCGTTGCTTCCCAAGGATCCATGTGCCTCAGTTTGAAGATCTCTGTTTTAAATGAGCTGTCAATGGTAAAAATCTGTACTGTTCACTGTTTCAACTGGAACAGACCTTAGAAGCCCATGACCATTCACGTCTGGCCCAAAACAAACTACAAAGGAGTCACAGAGAATTTTTTGACCGTTTTCCTGCCTGCAGTGCAGCTACTAGGTCACAGCTGAGCAGAGCCCCCGTCTCCCTGTCAGCCCAACACTGGGAACAGCCATATGCACTGTGCTCTGTGATTCACAAAATGCGATCACGCATGTTATCCACAGCCATCTATGAGCCGCTTCTTTGTTGCAACCACCTGTGTTACAAGCCTAAGAATGTTTGCATCCACCAAGATTTTGACTGCACCAAACAAAAATAGCCCCTCACTCAGAATAGCATCCCTCTAACCTACATTCCCACCAAATTAATGGCTTTTGTCATGTGGGATTAGAGGGGACAGAATGTTTCTATTCAAGTTTGTCACTATTACAAAAAAAACAACCCAAGGGCTATGCCACTAAAACATATGCAAACAACAGCTTTAGGAGACTGCCTACACAGGAAACTTCTGGAGAGGTTCTGTGCCTTTCAAAAGGACATGCTTTATTTTGCCAACTGTTATTCTCAAGAAGGGACCATTGTCTATAGCTCCCTCAGAGCTCCACCTTCAACCCAGCTCCTGGAGGCACAGACAGGCTTTCCACCACCTGGTCCTGTCTCCCCAGCCACACAGAAAGGATCAGGATAAACCACTGGGCCAAAGGTGACTCCATGCAACAGTGGCTTAGTGACAGACAACTGTGACTCTGGGCTGGGAGGTGGTACAAATAGAGACTGAATGGAGAGGTAGAGGAGGGATGGGGGTGCATCAAGAAATGATTAGAGGGGCTGGGGTTGTGGCTCAGTGGTAGAGCACTCGCCTAGCACATGTGAGGCCCTGGGTTTGATCCTTAGCACCACATAAAAATAAATAAATAAAAGAAAGATATTGTACCCAACTACAACTAAAAAAAAATATTAAAAAAAAAAAAAAGAAATGATTAGAGGTAGAGGCCAGTATTAAAGGGCTGGGGAAGACCAAGGCAAAGTGTAAGCCTGGATTTAGAGAAAACAGATTCTCTGAGTAAACGTAAAATGCTGTTTTCAGAGAGGAAAATTCAAAGAAAAGAATGATTTTGTGGGGAGGATGAAAGATCACTGGGAGCTGCTCCCTGTGGTAAAGCCATAAAAGTCAAGTCACTTTTCTTGGGTGAGTGGACCTGAGGACCACCCCACACCCAAGTCCAAGGAGGCTCCACCCAGCAGGGAGCTTGCCTCCCCTCTTTGAGAGGGAAGCTGAACATCAGCACCTGGGCCTTTGAATCACCTGTTCACTGACCCCAGTAAGGTCCAGAGGCTCTTTCCCATAGAAGACAGATGGTAGTAAGTTCTAGTACGTATGTGCAGCAAATATCATCTTGCTGTCTTCTTCCAACTCCCTGAGATTATTTTTTCCCTTTCACTTCTTTATGAAAAGTCCTCGTCTCCAACTCTTTCTGGTCTGTGCCCAGTACTAGAGTCATTCCCAAATGCTAGATTTGGGAACAAGAACTGAGATCTTCCAAATCAGTATCTACCAGGAAAATTTGTTTTCTCTGCAACAGGATCCTGAGAGGAAATACACCCAGCTGGGCTCTCCTTTATGGAGGTGAGGAGAATGGCCAAGACAGTGGGGGCAAGATGAACAGGAGACTGAGGATGAGACCCTTCCAGTCACAAAGAGCTAACAAAAGCTTAGTGTCTCTTCCTAAGCAACATGAAATCTTTGAGTTCTGTTTAATGATTTTGTTTTTGTCTGAACACCTATTTTATACACCTTTCTCTTTCCAAAATAGAATTCTTTGGGGGGAGGGGGATAGCCGGGATAGAATTCAGGGGAACTCATCCATTGAGCCACATCCCCAGCCCTATTTTGTATTTTAGAAACAGGGTCTCCCTGAGTTGCTTAGCATCTTGCTTTTGCTGGGGCTGGCTTTGAACTCTCCATCCTCCTGCCTCAGCCTCTTAAGTCACTGGGATTATAGGTGTGTACCACTGCACCTGACCAAGATAGAATTCTTTAAGGCTCAGGTCTTATAAACAAATAAGCAAAGGGCCTCAGAGGTTAGGAAACTGCTCCCAGGAAAAGCAAGACATACCTTGGTTACCTGCCCCTCACCTCTGCATCTCCCTGCAGTTCCTACCCTTTTCCTTTTAAGCTGACCTTTTCCAAGTGTATAAGATGGCTACTTGGTTTTGCTTTCTTTTCTTTAAAAAAATGTTTTAAACTTATTATTAACAGATAAATAAAAACATAAAAATCATACTAATGAGGTACTATGGGATCCTTTGGTACAATTATACACTGTTGATAGTTTAAATCAGGCTAAACGTACCTATTCCCTAAAACAGTTATCATTTCCATATGGGAAAAACCTTGGAAATATGTTCTTGGAACTTCTTGAAATGTATAGTACATAATTACCAACTATAGTTAACCTGCTGCAGTAACACACCAGAACTCCTTACTACTAACTATAACTTAGTACCCACTAGTCAACCTCTCCCCATCCCTCTACTCCCATCTCTCCCAGCCTCTAGTAATAACTACTCCACTCTTAACACCCATGAGATCTGCTTTTTTTAAAGAATCCATGTATGAGTGAGATCACACAGAGCTTGTCCTTGTCCCTGGCTTATTTACACAATGATCTCCAGTTCCATCCAGGTTTTGTTCTTTCTAACACCTCATTTGGGTTGATTCTAACTGCAGACACAGACTTTCAAAGAATTCATTTTGGTTTGAGCTCTTTAGAGAAAAAAAAGTCCTTCTTATCACATAGCCCCAGGTTTGTACAGTGGGTCATCAGTCTGTGTGGTCCTGGGACCATGGCATGTGTCTGGAGCTTCATGTTCTCTGGGAAGCAAAAGGGAAAACTTGACAACTGCTCAACTAAATTCTTGAACACTACTCTGAGTTCCGACTT